TAAGTCCGACTGTAACAAGGTATTTCCATACCACCTTGAAGTGGCACCAACAGCATCTGCATGTCGCACACAAAGGGAGATGACAGGAAACACAAAAACAGAAGGCCAAGAAGGAGATCAGGGAGGGAGCACATGGCAGGAAGCAGAAAGCAGAGCAGAAGATTGGGCATGAGCACAGAGTACAGAGCAGAAAGAGCTGCAGAATGGGCAAAGAAGGGGGTCAGAGTGGTACTTGGGAAGGGTGCAGGGCTAATTTGTGGCATGCTTGCCAAAAAGGTCCCAGTTTTATATAGTGTAAAAAGCAAAGGTAAGATTGGGTAAAATATCTGGACTGGAAGAGGCTAGCAGCGCCTTTTTCTAAACCTGGTCAACATTAACTAATGCTCAGAGCCCATCCTGGACTCAGCCTTTGACTAAGGAAGCTCAAATGTTTTACAAATGATTTAATGCATTTAAATTTGACTATATTATAGGTTTACCTCCATCTAGCTAGGTCTATTTAAAAAAGATTTAGCTAATGTAGTTTAATTTTTCAAATACAGATGAAACCTCACTCTTGGTAAGTGATGGGAAAAAAGATCCAGATTATATATATCCACACAATAACAATGGTCTGCTAAACATACACCCTTCCTCTGCCTAATCATCTCATCAAGACAATCCAGTTTAATGTAGGGTGGAGAGCTGGGGGAAAACAAAACAAATAAATCAACTACTTTGCAAATATCAAATGATTTGTCAGCTATATTAAAGAGAGATAGATTCAGATAGGAGCTAACCAAGTTTTTAAAACATTTCTAGACATTATTAATCAAAGCATATCTAGGACACTTCTTCCTTTTATCTTAAAATATGCCATCACAGCTAAATACTAAACCCTCCAGGGTCAGCATCTCTCATTCACTCTACCATCCAAATTAAGTTTTACAGACCTAAATTTCGAAGCCATTCCAAAAGCTGCTTCTGCCTTTCAGGAAGTTCCCAATTAAACAAAGAAAGCAGGCAAGCACCCAATGCTGCAAGTGTTTATCTTGACACTACTATATCATGACTATAAGACATAATTAAAATGTCCACGCCACAAAGCATTAGCTTTGATCTGATGGACTTGTGACAGCACGACAACTCCTTATCCTGTACATAATGCCTGAATTCCTTTCCCCCCAGTGTAAGACTTTGCATTTGTCCATATTAAAACATTTTGGCTAGATGGGCTGAAGTTACCAACCAAGCCTATTTGAGTGCTCTCTTCTCATAGTTATTTACTATTTTGCTAAACTTTGTCAATAACCCTTATACATAACACAAATATTTATTTCCAGATAATTGATTTGAATGTTGAACAGTATTAGGCCTAATATGAACCCTTATGGAACACCACTGGAAAGATCCCCATTCAATGATTAGTTGTCAAAGGGAAACATTTTTCAAAAGAAAAACAACTATCAGCCAACTCATAATCTACTTGCACAATTTACTGAGTGTAGACTTTTTAAAAAAATCAGAATTTAGTTTAGTATTAAATCAAATGCCTTCTTAAGACATCTAGGATATCTATACAGTCCTTTCATCAGCCACATTTACAATCTCAATAAAATGAGCCGGGTTTGCTTGTAAAAAAACCAAACCAAATCCTCTATTCCTTTTGTTTTATTCTTCATCAGTTTGATATTGTTTTAGCCAGAACAGATGTGAGGCTTAGTGGTCTTTAAGGGCGCTAACAGATGCGCAGCTCCCTGCTTCACAGAAAGCACTAAGTTACAGCAAACCAGATGCGCAGCTCCCTGCTTCACAGAAAGCTCTGAGTTACAGCAACCCCTCCCTCAACCCAACAGACGTATCAACTGCCTGTCTGCAGCCCTTCTCCCCCAGCCTCTTCTTCACAGCTCTGGTGCTGTCTGCAGGATGCAAGGCGGATGAGAGGGAGCTTGCCTGCAAGAGAGAGAGGGAGATCTGGGCTGGGGTTTACCCAGCCTGTGCTAGAGTGGGAGCAGGTGTGTTGGAGCTCCCCGCATCAGGGGAGCACCAATCCACCTGTCCCCCCCCTAATGCATGCCTGACAGCATCAAGGTATGTGAAAGGAGAAAGTAAAAAGGGAAGAGTATAAGAGCATTGCTTGGGAATGCAGGGATGAAGTCAGGAAGGCCAAAATGCAATTGGAGTTGCAGCTAACATGGGACCTGAAGGGTAACAAGAAGGGTTTCTATAAATATGTGAGTAACAAGAGGAAGATCAGGGAAAGTGCAGGTTCCTTACTGAATGGGGGAGGCAACCTTGTGACAGAAGATGGAGAAAAGGCTGAAGTGCTCAATGCCTTTTTCACCAGCCTTCACAGGCAAGGTCAGCTTCCAAACTACTGCACCAGGCAGCTCTGTTTGGGGAGGATGTGAGCAGCCAACTGGTGAAAGAACAAGTTAGGGACTATATAGAATAGCTGAACATATACAAGTCCACGGGGCTGGGTGGGATATACCCGTGTGCTGAGGGAGTTGGCTGTGATTGCAGAGCTGCTGACCATCATCTTTGAAAATTCATGGCAATTGGGAGAGGTCCCGGATGATTGGAAAAGGGCAACTATTGTGCATGTCATATTTAAGAAAAAGGAGGATCCAGGGAACTACAGACCAGCCAGCCTCACCACATTCCCCAGAAAACTCATGGAGCAGATCCTCAAGGAATCCATCTCAAACCACTTGGAGAAGGTGATTAGTGAATCCATGCTAACTGTTTCTAAGACCAAGTCATGCCTGAACAACCAGATTGCTTTCTATGAGACAACTGGCTCTGTGGATACCAGGAGACCAGTGGATGCGATATACCTTGATTTTAGCAAGGCTTTTAATATGTTCTCCCACAACATTCTTGCAGGCAAGCTAAGGAAGTATGGGTTGGATGAATGGATGGTAAGGTAGATAGAAAACTGGCTGGAGCATCCAGCTGAGAGTAGTAATCAATGGGCTCAATGTCTAGTTGGCAGCTGGTGTCAAGTGGAGTGTCCCAAGGGTCAATTTTTGTTCAGTATCTTCATCAATGACCTGGAAGATGGCAGAGAGTGTATAATTGACAAGTTTGCAGATGGCACCAAGTTAGGGGGAGTAGTAGATATGCTGGAAGGTAGGGCTAGGATTCAGAGTGACCTAGACAAATTGGAGGATTGGGCAAAAAGGAATCTCATGAGGTTCAACAAGGACAAGTGCAAAGTCCTGCACTTAGGATGGAACAATCCCATGCATCAGAACAGGCTGGGGGATGACTGGCTGGGCAGCAGCTCTGCAGAAAAGGACCTGGGGGTTACAGTGGACAATAAGCTGGATATGAACCAACAATGTGCCCTTGTTGCCAAGAAGGCTAATGGTATATTGGGCTGCACTGGTAGAAGTTTTGCCAGCAGGGCAAGAGAAGTGATTATTCCCCTCTATTCAGCACTAGTGAGGCTATATCTGGAGTACTGTGTCCAGTTTTGGGCCCCCCCACTACAGAAAGGATGTGGACCAGTGGAGGGCAACAAAAATGGTGAAGGGGCTAGGGCATGTGTCTTCTGAGGAGAGGCTGAGGGAACGGGGTTTATTTAGTCTAGTGAAGACTCGGAAGGGATTTAATAACAGCCTTCAGCTACCTGAACAGGGGTTTTAAAGAGGATGGAGATAGACTGTTCTCAGTGGTGGCAGATGAGAGAACAAGGAGCAACATTAGTTTAGGTTAGAGATTAGGAAGAATTTTCTCACTAGGATAATAAAACACTGGAACAGGTTACCCAGAGAGGTGGTGGAATCTCCACTGTTGGAGGTTTTTAAGACCCAGCTAGACAAAGCTTTGGCTGGGATGATCTAGTTGGGGATGGTCCTGCTTTGAGCAGGGGGTTCACTAAAGGGAGGGAGAGGAAGAGAGATTCAACAGCCTCAGATATATAGTTTCAAAAGAAGTTGAGATAGCAAATAGCAAGTTAGGTCACCAACTGGGAAATGAAACTTAGTTGGCTCTACCCAGGAACGAATGAGGTTCTTGTCCCAAGGCCTAGCACAGGATCAAGGGAGACCTACAAGACCCAGAAAAGTGGAGGGGCAGGGGGGGAAAGGTGTCAAGTGTGTTAAAGGCTGCCTACAGAACAGGAAACCATGAATCTCTTCAGGTTCAATTTTATTACAGATTTAACCTTTAATCTCCCAGACTTCGTAATTTCCCCAATATAAAAAACTGTTTTTTTATGACCGATATGTAGATCGGTGATTCTCAACCAGGGTACTATGGGTGCCACAAAAGGTTAGCACTGTTAGGTTTACAACATGATTCACAAGGTAAATCCATTCAAATAGAAATCCATAGCTGTGGTCTTTCTAAGTTCTTTGCAACAAAAAAAACAAAACAAAACCTGCTCTGTTTTCCGTAGGCAAAAAAAAAAAAAGAATGAAAACTAAGAACATTTCTAAGGGGTGCCTCAAGTGTAAAAAAAAAGTTGAGAGACATTGATGCAGATGAATTACTAGTATAAAGCCAAGAGTAACAGACTTCAAGGGTATTACTTCAGAAATGCACAACAGTCCTGGTCTTGCATTTGTTTCTGTAGTGCTTATAAAAATTAACATGACTTTTGCTGTTATAACCTCTTTGCACCACACATAGTACAGTCCTATATAGAAGGTAATCAATAATGTGCTAGTAATGAAAAATACATAAGCATTGGAATCTGACCTTTGTAAATCAATTTCATAATAGGAAATTATACTAAATATTTTCTCTCTCTCTCTCTCTTTTTTTTTTTTTGAAGAAAAAGGGAAATGAAATTAAGCACAACAATTTTATTTCCAGAGAATTTTGCCTGCTTAGTATTTCACATCTTCTTAGTTCTAGTGATTTCTCATACTTACTACCAGGCAGTAATAAACTACCAAGAACAAGCCATCTTGATACAAGTGATAAAAAACAAGCTCACTTCAAGAGGTACACTTTTTAAAACTTGTTTTGATTCCTTAAGAGAATGCATTAAAGGCAAGGCAAGAACATAACATCCGTAATTGGTTTATTCCATAAAAAAGCCATACTGTTTTCCAACATATACTCATTTGAACTGTTCTTCCCTACATCTTAGATTTTTATTTTTTTACAAAAATACATCATACTGAGGCTGACATTTGAGAGTTTAATTTTTTTAATCCAAAAGAATAATTCAGCTATATTTCTGCAGTCAAATAGTTCCAGACTTCATGTCTTCTATTTTCTCAAACTGAACTTGACAGCTTTTAAATAAGAGTTCAAAATACGTCCACAATAAAAAAAAAAAAATGATCTTCAAATCTTATATACAAAAAAGATAGTTTGGCGACTGTGGAGGTGGACTAAAAGAAAGTGTCCAAGAATATCAGTACCTATACTTGGTAGAATAGTCTTTTGGTGACACCACCAGACCTCTACCTTTACGGGCTCCTCTATAAACTGTTTCTATAATGTCAATCATTTCTTGCTTGTCTTCCATTGCCCAATTAATTTTGTTGTTGTTACCTGTTCCTAAATCAATCATGATGTGTTTGTTCCTGCAAGAGGAAAGCAAATACCAGTCAATACAGTGCATTGCCCTCTTCGGAAGTATAAACTTACTTGTCCTGAAGAATTTCACAGAATTCAGATCCACTATATGTAGCTCTTTCAACATATCCTTGCAGGTCAGTCAATTAGCCTAACTCTGAAAATGGCAGAGCTTATGTACCATTGTAATACTGAAGCTGAAACTTTTAAAGTAATGTTTTAACTTTAGGAACAGAAAAATAAGGCATAAAGATAACCCTTCTCAAGATTATTAATTACTCAAAAATAGTTATTTATCTTTAAGAAGAAGATAGATTTAATATTGTATTTGATTTTGTGGTAACAGGGTACAACTACCTCTCAAAACCAAATTTAGCACAATTTAGTCAATTAAAGGTAGACCTAACACCCACCAAAATTTGAATTTGGATTTTCTTTAACGTTTTAACAGCATTGTTAAAATTACATTAAAAATAGTTTTTTTCCCTTAGACTCAAGCTCTGACATTGCCTAAAGTACTGTGAACATAAACTATTATGCTAGCAGTTGGTCTATTCACTTTGAAATGATCAGGACGCTTTTATTGCCCAAAGATGCTAAAAAGTACAACCACAAAATGTGATGATCACACAAAGTATTTTGTTTTATTCCAGTGTCCTTTAAATGTAACTGTATGTCCAAATTTGTCATTTTACAAAGAATTAGCAAATGTAAAGGACTTCATTAGAAAATAAGTTATTTCTTCTGCGATACATGGAAACTATTAGACACTTGTACAGCTAACATTTAAAATGTAAATGTTTTAGTTAGTTTTATGACTTTTTACATTTTTAGATATTCTGTACACCTGACTTATAAAATCAGATTCTGTACATACACAAATGTGCAGATTTTCTAATTTTAGAGGAACAGTGTTGTGTTCATATGGCAAGCTGGAAGGAAAAAAAAAAAGTTTTTTCCTCAAATTTCATGGGCGGTAAATCCAAGAACGCCTTCTGGACACAACGGGACAGTTAAAAAAAACAAAACAAAATCAACAGAAATACCCCACATTATTAAGATTCCAACTTGATGGAAGTGATTCAGGTTGCTTAAGCTAGATGGCATATTTTCATGACACAAAGCCAATGAAAAAAACCAACAAAAACAAAACAACTGAATATGGAATGTTATGCAGTTATAAAACAATAAACATTGAACTTTCCACTATATTGAGACTCTACCAGAGAGAAAATTCAGCACCAAGTGAAGGTTTTATTTGTAGTGTCAGCTGAGTTCATGAAGTGCTGTTTTTAATTCACAGGACTACAAAATTTAGTAGCAACCAGCCTTGTCATCAACTTGACCAAAGATTTTTATCAAGATGTTAAATTAGATTAGATAAAATGCAGAGTGGCTTCCTTCCCAGTTAACATGCTGTTATTAGAGGTGCACTGATACATCAGTCAGATACTGGATCAGCACTGATATAAAGAAAATTGACTGTATGGGAAATTGGCCTGATGTGGCCAATAAATGCCCATGCAGCCGCAGAGCAGCACGCAGGCAGCAAGGAGCATAGCCTGACAGCTTGGAGAACTGTGTGCAGCTGGTAAGTCTGTTGTGGTGGAAGGGGAGAGAAGGGGTGTGGGAGGGCAGATCAATGGCACTTGCAGTAAGGGAGGGAGTGGGGCTGGAGTAGGTGCTGCCCAGCTGGGGTAGGGTGGGGCACCCAATGGAGCCGTAGCTCGTCCAGGGGGCGTGGGGTCCCGCTGCTGCGCGCACCCTGGGAAGGCATGGGGGGGGGGAAAGAGCGTGTGCCCCTGGATCTGTGCGGGGTAAAGTGGGCTGCAGCTGCCCCCTAATCCCTGGACAAGCCGCAGCTCCGTCCCTCATCCCACCCCAGCTGGGCAGCACCTGCCCCAGCCCCATTCCCCTCCCTCACTGTAGGGGGCCTTGTTCTGCCCTGATGACCACCCCCCTCCCCCCACAACAGACTTACCAGCTGGATGCAGCGATATTGGAAATCAGATCAATATTGCCAGATAGCCTATTTTTTTAAGCAGGCATATCTGTATCGGCCCCCAACATCTCTATCGGTGCACTCCTAGTTGTTATTTTTACATAAAACAACATTTCCCCATAATAAGTTGTTAAATATTTTAATATACTTATCAGCATACAAAAGACAAAAAATGCATTGCCTTAGTTATAATACACAACCCAGAATTACCCATTTAAGTTATATTGTAGAAATAAGACATACCTAAAGAAAAACATGACTGTACAGGGATCATACAACTCGTACATCTTGTTGAAATCTGGTACTTCTGTAATATCCACAAGATAAATAACAGCAAAGTTTTTCACCTGGACAAAAAAAAAAAGCAAAATACCAATATATGAACAAATAAATACCACAGCAAATTGTTGGTTTTTTTTAAATGGTGATAGATTTTATAGAAATGTTTACATTATTGCAATATTAATTCTGCCCAGTGTTCATTGGTAAATTAGTTTGATCTCTTTTTTCTTGTTGCCTTTGTTAATTACTTAACAGATTAGAAAATACACACTATACTAATATTAAAGAAAGGTGGAATTCACAGCCAGCAACCAACAGAAAAATGGCTTACTAAAACTGTTATGTACACACCCCATGATGCCCAACTCTCCATCGCATGCCTCATTTAATAAATATAAATATTTAAGAAGTGTGGTAGCAATTGCTGTTATTAAACACATAAACCTTAACTCCATATTTTCAGTGGTAAATTCCAGAAGCTTTCACATAAGCTGAAGTTTTTCTACATTCTCTAAATTAAAAAAAAAAAAAAAAATCTGAGCAAATATGCATCAGCTCTTACTGAGCAGGATAGTAGGAAAATACTAGCAACATTAAAAACTGAAGCTTTTTTTGACCAATGAAAGTGGTAGCATCTGACATGGAAATAATTCTTACTGAATGCATCTACATATGCAATTCATGAGATTCAATAAACTCTGGAGCAGTTCAAGTCACTGCCAACTGCTCCCAGGAGCAGAGCCTACATGTGTGCCTGGGAAAGTAGCAATTTTAGCTGGGGCAGAGCAGGCCCCCAGCTCGCTGGGCTGACTCGATGCAACGTACACCCTGCAGTCAGTATCTACAGGTGCATTTCAGCACAGTAAAGTACTCTGCAGTAAGATAGTACTGTCTCCAAAAGTACTATCCTACAGCAGAGTTAGTTTACTGTGCCCCAAAACAGACGCATGTGTAGACCATGACGCTTTACTGTGGAGCTAATTAGTCCACGTACATGTATATTGCCCCCCCACCCCGAGAAGTGATTTTACAAGTGCCACTGAAAGTAGACTTTTATTTGTCTGAGTTACTATTGAGACAAAGCTACACATTCTACATGTACAAGATATTTGAATTTTTTAAAGTTAAGTTTGTGGGTAACTTCACTCCCTTAAGAAAACTATTGCCAACTGAAAAGCAAGCACAGTATACAAACTGACATATTTGAGAGATTAAGTCAGTGGAAACATATTTAACAATGATAATATATGTGAATACAAGAATGAAATATATTAAGAGATGATATAGCTGTATCTAAATTACAGTCAATTTTGAGAATGGTGTTTGATCCTTTATTTACATGGTACTGTAATCTGGAAAAACAAGAGAACAGTCAGGATTGGGAGAACGTTTTTTTGATTCCTTTGGATCAGACTGCAAATTTCTCTCTCCAGATAATGGAATCTATAAGAATATCTCCCCAAGCTTAAATATTTTTCACAGTATTTGTGATTTTTCAGACAACCCCCAACTGGAAATAGTATATGATTAAACTAGAAATTACATTAAAATGTTTAAAAACTAATCAAAATATAAATTCCACAGAAATTCGTCTGGTATAGTCTGAAATTACACATTTTTTAAAAGTCTGCATACACAGGTGCTGTAATTAGGAAAGTACTGTGATTTTTAAATTTGTTTCCAGATTCTAGAACTATTTGGTATATATTATGAACCAAAATAAAAATTAAAACTTAGGAGTTTCAAATCATGGTTTCTGTTCAAGAACTGCTGTACACAAAACCAAAAGTCTGTTAGCACAGTTCACTTCTGACATATGATCATGTTTATATTTTACTGTTATTTTGCTGAGCCAAAGTTGTTTGCAATTATTTTATACAATTTATCACCTTAAATGCCGCTGCAAATATAACAAGTACTAATACTCTACCAGTGCACATTGCATTGCAGTTCAGGTGCAATTTTCTTTTGGGAAATTCTTTACAATGCACATTTACATGAAAATACAATTTCTATAATCCACCAAAAGTAATCTTTGGATAAATTAATAGTGCCTGCTTTTCTTTAAGATTATATTCTCTACAATTTTTAAAATATACTTTATTCACTGAAAGTATCCCTGAAGAATTTATGAAACAAAGAGCATGTCTACAAATTGCCATACAGTAAAGCATGGTGTAGTATAGGTGGTTACTGCGAGGTGCACACAGCGCATGGGTAGATTTCACCACTACATCGCCATAGCCGTGCACTATAACTGCAGAGCATGCTACTATGGCAACATAGCTGGCAATCACGTGTAGACCTGCAAAAATCGCTACATTGCTGTAGGTGTGCCATATGGCGATGTAGCGCATTGCTACGTCACCGTAGGGCAACATGTAGGTGTGCCCAAAGTGTTTGTATTTTCTGAACTACACAAGTATGCCATTTAAAAAAATGTCTTTTAACACAAAAACTCAATGCAATAAAAAATATCTTCTATCAAACTGATATATTGTTGCTTATCCAGCTTGTAGTGCCATAATCTGGTTTCCTTTCCTAAAGTTTCAGATAACTCTTCTTTGTTTTATGAAGCCAGGAACTTTTACTAAATAGTAAATAGGAGTGCACCAATAGAGATTTTTTGAGCTGATACTGATGGCCAATTTTTAAGGAGCCATATCAGCCAATGCTGATCTGATTGCCAATATGCAGCTGGGCAGCTTGGAGACCAGTGTTGGGCTGGTAAGTCTGGTGTAGGGGAAGGGGTAAATTGAGGCCCCGGCAGTGAGGGAGGGAGTGGGGCAGGTGATGCTTAGCTGGGGTGGGGTGGGGTGTGGGATAGAGCCGCAAGCAGCTCGTCTGGGGGGCTCGAGGGAGGGAGGGTGCGGCTTCCACCCTGCACACACCCTTGGAGGGCACACAGGGGGGAGGGAGGAAGTGTGCCCCTGGATCTGTGGGGTGAGGGTGGGCTGCCACTCTGGGCCG